CAATTGATGAAGCACATTGTCTTAAAAGCCTGATGACTCGCAACTTACGGGCGTTAATAACTTTGTAAGCGCTCAACTGAATTCCAGGGCTGATATGGAAACGATCAACTAAAGGAAGACAAGAGCATCAGCTGGAAATTATACCTTAAGCCCGCTCACAGTTTTCTACGGTACATGTAACAGCCTCAGAATATTTGCTATAAGTACCGGTGGTTTCAAGAACTACGCGAGGACAACGGACATTACCGAGTATAGCCGTTCTTTGCACTATACGATTGTTTTTTTCTCTGCCGAAAATTTCAAGATTAAGTTAACGTTTCTAAGACTTGTAATGACATCAAAACACACATTCGTAATGCATTTCAACAGCTGTTAAAACGTCGAAAGTGAATTTCACGGAACATCAAACCCATTTGTCCCACATTTCTTGTAGACGCATCTAAGAATTACGTACCTGTCCCGTCATAAAGGTCTATGCCCGCTTTGCACTGCGTTTTGTGCATCATCACTAGCTCGATGTTTTGAGCGATGCAGGAGCATTGTATTTAGGCGTTAGTCGTCAAATTGTTGTTTGTTGACTTTAATTGAAAACGCCACTATCCCAAACGCTTGTCATCGCCACCATCTGTACAGATTGGTGCTGAACTAGTTTTTATCAATTCCCTCTCTCTCCTCTTGTTCTTGCCAGTTCATCTACGATGCTTTCTTTGTCTTATCTGACAAACCAGATGACCATTAGGTAACCTAAGCGGAAGCGAAATTCGGGCCGTCAGAAACAAGGTACTGTTAAACTCAGGACAGATGGGTACAATTGGTTTTCCTCAGGCGCTGCATCCCAGGAATGTTTGCCATACGCTATGCGGCCCACAAGCTAGTTATCACACACTCACTGCAATATCCCCCACAAAAAACTAACTTAAAATATTGACATCCTTGCCCTATCTTTCCCGGGGAGCCGAAGAAACAGGGCGCAGACTACGCCGCACTCACACGTCACGCCACACGGTCATAGACCACGCACCACTCACGGCCGCAGTCGGATAACAGAGCCAGTTCCCTCTCATGGAAGGTCAGGCATGTAGTCCACTCTCCCCGGCTGAGCAGCGGACTAACAAGCACAACAGCCGTGCGGCCAACGGCGGCGGTCTGCCGTCGCTACAGCGGAGCGCCGCCGCGCGGTGTCTGCCTGGCTCACCTGTGGGGTGGGGCGCGAACACTGATGATCCCTCCGTGCGATGTTATCACGGAGATGCTTCGCTCGGTGCTAACGCCGACCGGAGTTTTCAAAATGCATGATACCAAGGCTCGAGTCAGTGCGCAAACAGGGCATGTGCGCAAAGGCAGCGCGCAAACAGGGCATGACTTGGACATGGCGTGCAGGGCACGTCAACAACTGTGTCGTTTGATTATGATACTCTTGATTTAACCAAATCGCTTGTGTGCACATGGCCGCCTGGCGCCCAACCTAGGAGGCACTCCGTTGCATCCCTAAATTGGACAATGAATGGGAACAGAACAGACGTGAGAACAGAGCTTACAATACATCACTTCCTCTTCCTCCGCCTCCTCCTCCCCCTCCCTCTCCCTCTCTCTCTCCCTTTCTCTCTTTCTCTCTCCCCTCTATCTTTCTCCCCCTCTCTTTTTTCTCTTTCTCTCTCTCTCTCTTTCCTCTTTCTCTCGCTCTGTTTCTTTCTCCTTTCTCTCTTGTATCTTATCTCCCCCATTCCTTGTTTCCTTCTCTTAGTTCCCATCTCTCTCGTCCGCCAATATCCCCATCGCTATGTCCATTTCCACGCCTCTGTGACTTTCTCAGTTTCTCACTAATCTGATCCGTTTCAATTCGTCTCAGCACAACTATTTCATGACATAAACCGCACAAAATCCACACATTCCAACTCCTCTTTTGAGCGAGATGTGTGGGAAGCCGGGGCATGCTCCCTTCATTTCTTCAGCCTCTTTTTTTGCAGAAAGCTATCTATTTAGCTGTAACAAGTAAAGTAATCTATGTAGCTGTAACAAGCGCTCCCCGCTTGCTTCTCTTTGCGAAGGGGCGACGCCGTGAACGCTGGCAGCTCCGCTCCAACGGCGTAACGTTGGCTCACGGCTCAACAAAAGGAAGTGGGCCTTTGTTAGCTTTTGTAAACTGGTTAGCACTCATAGCTTACACGGATGCTTGGCCCGTACAACGCTGTTTCGTATACTGCGGACATCACATACACACCGGCATTGCTGGCGTCGGTAGATCACCGCCTCTAGCCTTGTGACTGGTTCGCATATCAATGATGCAGCGTGTCAAATTCCTTCCCTCCTAAGATTTCAGTGTTTGCCTCAATTGCCAGTCCCCTGCGTGTGTGCACGCGATGTTCATGGTTTCCCGACCTTTGCAACAAGTTTTCAACTATTTGGCCTTCGTGCAACTTGTTTCTCCCATAGATACGAATAAATGATTTCGTGCTTAGTGCCATAACATGACTCTTTTTTGTTTGTGCTTTGACCCCCGACACCGGCATCGCACGGGCGTGAAATTTATGAAAGTTATGTGGTGGATCGCTGCGAAGATGTAAATTGTCGCATGCGCAAATTTGACGGCAAATCATGCATCCGTCTGAGAAGTGTGTCTGGCTAAAGAATGCGGACAAATTAAAACACAGACGGACATACATGCATGCGATATTATACTGTACGCTATTGACTTAAGTCTGAAATTCAAATGAAATACAATAGATAAGCTTTAAAGTTCACTGTAATTTGGCAGACCTAACTTATTAGGTTGGTTTTGAAATGAACATTCTGTGGTGAGCCACTACAGTAAAATTGAAAGCCTTGCCAGAGCCCGAAACGTGGGGTCCGGAGCAGGCTGGTTCTTCGGTGCGCTCCAATGCTGTTTCAGTGATCCTGGATTGATCCAGACCACTCTGCATTATTTGTCAGGTAAATCTGTGCAGACCAACGTGTGTGCTCGGGTCCAACGTGTTCAGGCCAACCGGCGCGTGACCAACGTGTCTGTGACCAACCAAACAACAGACCAACCGGCAACAGAATCCCACACCTAGAACTCCGTTTTCCACTTAACATTTACACAAATTTGACAACAAACCATGCAGCCGTCTGCGCCGTGCGTCTGGCAAAAAAAGAAAAGGAAGAGAAGAGGACAGATCGACGTACAGACAGACACGAACGCATGCGATATTATGCCGTACGCTCTTGACCTGCATGGACTGGAGTATGAAAGAAAGGGAGGCGCAAATGCCGCAATAGTGAATGCAATTATTGTTTAATTACAGGATGCCATATCGACAATTTTTTTCAACAAGTTATCAAGGAGTTATGTTCTGTATTACAGTGCATCGTGTACATCTATCGGCTAATAGCAAACAATTCATCAGGTTCCATGGGGAATATGCTGAAAGAGACATGTCAAGAAAAATAAAAGATTCTGGATAAATCATCGGAAAATTCTAGATCTGTTCAATCTCGAACGCACCTCCTATGAGTTATGGATACGGCACAGTACGAACTAAGCCACTGAGACCGCGCAGAATGTTCCGAAAGTCGAAAAATTCCCGGCTGTACTGTGCATGAAAGCTTTGGCTCGTAGTACCGTGGAAGGTTGGCTTGTCTACACAAAGCATGGTAAATACATCGCCGTGAGATAACACAGCAGCTCCCAGTTTTGTGGAGAGCAGGTCTTGCCCACGTGGATCCTGTAGGCTAGTGGGAAAAGTACGCCGCTGAGCGGTTATGCTTCAAGCGTACTTAGATGGGACTGGGATCGATCAATCTGTTGAATACCGTGACATAAAACACTTCAACATGAAGCGGCTGTAAGCGTACCGTGTTCCGGTTTCTTCCTATAACTTTTAGTCATATTTTATGGTAGTCATAAAACGTAGTATGATATGTGAGCCTCGCGACTTATTGATCGGATTGCATTTGAGCTACAAGTTGGTCAAAAGTGTACGCTGCAATCTTGATAAAGATGCAGAGAGAGGGTCTGCTATCGATAAATGGAAGCATATGCATGCTCAGAAATTATTTAATTAGATAGCTCTACAGTGTTTGCCCTGTCACTGGGGGGCGAGTGTCACTTGGGATACTTACTGACATCAGGGCTGTGACCCGAGGCAGCAGTGGCACTACATCGGGCGTGCAAGTTATATTTGGTTCAAAAACTTGTCATGTAGTATGGAAGATAACAAAATCAGCATTTTCAGCACGTTCCAGGAAAACATAATGCAACACGGGGATTTGTTTTTGGTAGATTCAATACATTCAACAGAAAAAATATCTTGAAACGTAGAGGACGCATGTGTCGTAGTATGCTAACCTACAGTGACATCGGATTCTTCAATCCATTCCAACGACTGGATTTCTTTCTTATCTATTCTAAAGCCAATCCACGTGCATCGAAGGCTTTCCGATCGAGTCAAGTCCAATCGATGCAGTTAATCACTGATCCATGGATTTATGTAATGCGTGAAGGGCAGTCCCTCGAAACGCTATGTATACGAAGCTTTGTTTCATCATCATTTTCTTTGCATATATCACGCCACATTACTCATCTCAATTTCTACAATACGCGGTACCTACACCACCCGTAATGGATACGGCAAGGTCTGCGGTAGAAAACAAAACAATACGCATGCAGATCCATGCATATTGCAGATGCATGGATATAGTGTCACGCAGTCACGCGTGCACATCTTCGTACTGCTGCACAGAGCGACAGATCAATCAACATCACTCAGCGAATACCGCCTTCCGCCGCTGAAGGCTTGTGCCTTACGCGTCGCCACGTCATACCGACCGCTGGAGCAGTGAGTGGACGGCGCCGTCCTCCGCCAAGGACGGTGCCGTCCTCGCGGGTCGACCCGGACGCGGCGGCCTGCGCCGAGCGTCGCCGCGGAGAGAGGAGGACGCCGCCGGACGGGAACGCCTGCAGGGGCACGCCCCGGCCGTTGGCGACCCACTTCGGCCGGCAGCTCATATAACGCGTCCGGCCGGCGGGCTGCACCAGTCTCCCGAGCTCGCTCCGCCGCCGCACTCCTCCCGGACGCCAGCTCCTCGCCATGAAGGGCCACCTGATCGCCGTCGCGTGCCTCCTGGCAGGTGAGTCGACCCCGCGCCGCCCCTGCGCGCCGCTGTGCCCGCCACGTGCTGTGGTGGCGCAGACCGCCCGGCTACCGCCCGGCGCTGCAGGGAGCTTGCTTGCAGTGGTCAAGTCAGTCACAGCAAAACGACGTGCTTCAGCTGGCAACCGGTATTTGTTATTTTCCGTTGGAAAATTCAGACAGTGGGATTGCGTTACTACTTATACGTACCGATTCGGTGTTTTATTCTACAGCCTGTTAGAGAACACTGTTGCTACAAAAGATACTTAATTAAAGACATTCATTAACGCTCATTCGGCATTGTCTACACAAAGGGTAATATACCTAGTGAACCGTTCAAGCTATTATGACATATTATGAGAGAATGGTAATGACTGGGTTATTAGCGCTTGATGACTCCTTAGGTTATCAGGTCCCCAGGAATGATGGGAAAGAAGTCACACAAAATTATTGGAACAGTGCTCTATCAAAAGTGAATGTGCTGCTCTCTTTCCATGTGACATGATTTCTATCAAGGGTATATCTTTTCTTGAATTTGGTCACGCCAATCAATCAAACCTTGCAATCATGCAAAAAATGCCTCGCAGAACCATCATGGACTAAAATGACGAATATACGATTAGTAGTTGGAAAACAAATGTTTGTATTGAGTGCGAATCAAAGTCATCCGAGTGGTGTTCTCACGGCCTTGATTTCTGTAAATTGCTTTACAAGTCTGTTAAGATTTTTTCACAATTGGAAATTTTTGAGATTTTTGCAAAACATTTCGTCCTTTAAGCCATAGTTTTGCTCTCACTAATATCATGCCGCTGCTCGCCTTTTGCAGTTCTTAGCCTTGAATGCAAGCCTTTCGTTTCAGAACGCTTCTTGCGTTCCGAGCTCAAATATGTAAACCGAACTAAGTGACCTAATTAGACGATGACGAATTGATATTCTATTGCCTCCTATAATATAATATACATTTTATGGCCTACTAGCAGTTAATTTAAGAGCTACGCTCGGCAACCTACATGTTCTCTCGTGCTTTATGTGAAAAATGAAACATAAGTGGACTGCTAGTCGCTTTTTGTCACAAGCGCTTTTTGATGTCGACTAGCAGTCTACCCAATGCTTTTTTTGCTCACTGACACTTTCAAACGGTCGGAATCTGAACATTGTCAAAATTGACACTGACAACATTACGTGATGCCGTTCTCCGACCCGTTTTTAATAACCATCGAAACAGCCAGTAAGCTGGTGGTTCCCCGAGGCTGAAGCTGGTTTAGTCGGTCGAGGCGGAAGTGTTGCGTCATGCTGGCGGCTCTCTGGGTCGACCGCTGGTCGCTACGTACACAGCAGGACGTGCTGGGCATTCTGCCGCAATGCCATCAAGTCAGGGAGGTTTTAAATATTCCACGAAAAGTTAAGCTTCGGTGATTAAACGGCAGGAAAATATCAGTTACGAGCACCAAGTGAGTGTCGCAGATTTGTACGTTTGCCAAAGTGGGATGAAGTGTCAAAATTAACTGCAGTACACCGTTACTCCACAAAGACTTGTAGATTTCAGCGGAAGGAAAGCACACTGGCATGCTTGAGAATGGCATGCATGCTTTACATGCATGCATGACAAAGGCATGCATGCATTATTCCCAAAATTTCCTCACTGACTTTGACCAACCTTCTCATGAAACCCGCTATCGATACTAAGACTTGTTTTTCCGAAGAATAGACACCAATCCTACCGGGTTGCATGGTTCGAACCAGTCGAACCAGAATGTAGTTTGACCTTTTGAAGGTCGCCGCATCTGGGCAGATTTCACGGCGTGATGTCCCCGACGATCGCCTGTAGTATACTACAGTGTGAAGATGAGTCAGCGCTCTGCTCACGCTGACAGCGCGCTTTTATCGGCACGGCGCGTGCTTCTCGAACCGAAATATGAACGGCCGAACACTGAAAAGTCCTGATTTGGATAGTTTACTCGGGATTCATCGCACCCGGATTAAAAAGTGTCGCTCGACGACGCGTCGTAACGATAACAATAACAATAGTCCGGCGTCCACCTCGGCTCGTGAGAGCGCATCGGCTTTCTCGTTACCGCCAGTGCGCGTATTAAAGGCGGCACGAGTCATATCTCGGCGCGCAAGGAGCCCTCCTTTCACCACACAATGCCCAGACTCGACCGGAGGCAGCGCTGCTGCCAAACTTGACCCGGGCGGCGCTCGGTGCCCGAGTAGGCCAGACGATGTTATCGGCTCAATAAGCACACGGCAAGGAGCGCCGTTCTGTTAGCTGGGTCAGCCCTCGTACCACAGAATTAGGCCCTGGCACGCTTTAGGCCATTCACTCTGCTCACAAGTGCACGAAATCAGGGTGCGTTCCTCGGTGCACCAAGGACGCCGAGCGCGACAGCTGATGCCGAATGATGAGTTCACGCTCCGGGCGCCTCCGGCCCGGCGGCGGCGGCTCGACATCTGCGTAGCCTATTTTCCGCACGATGTGTGCCATAGCTAGCCCGCAGCTGATTGGTCGGCGGTGTGGGCCGCCTCTCCGGATGACGTCGGCTGGTATGCATCCAGCTCGGGTCAGAGCACATCCGCTTTGGAGAGCACGCTGTTTTAGGCGGTGTTTTAGAACGCGTGCGTTCTGAAAAGCAAACACCCTGACGATTTGAACGCCACCGGGTGCGGTCGGAGTTCTGGCAGTTGGCACGCGTCGACATGGTCGGCATGCATAGCAGAGATGTCGGCACGGGCTATGACGGTTCGACACGCGACATCGATGGTGAGCAGTCGGCACGTGCCATTATGCATCGTTATGCGATGCCATGGGCTACTATGTATCGTTAGGATGCCAGCCTAAAACGCCGTATCTGAAGATGGATAGTGACTTAGCTTGACTAGAAGACAGATAACTTGCATTTCTACTGCTCTCCTCAAAGCACGCCAAGCACGCGTCACCTCGGTTTGACACGAGTCCACGTGAGTCCGCTCGTACCAGCGTTCCGTGCCGCGGCCGCTGACCGCCCGTTGGCACGAAGCCAACATCAACAGCCGGTCCTGACGGGCGTGGTAATGCAAAGCAGCTGGAACTATGCGGATGTGCGGCTGGCGTACAGTGGGTCAGTGGGTGAGGAGGCACCGGCGCGGCCCTCCCGGCTCTGGGCCGCGCAGGGCCGGCCACCTCATAGGCCGCACGTGCCACGCGAGCTATCTCGGGCGGCCGCGACAGCAGGCGTCTGGTGTGGATGGCTGCATGGAGTGCCAGATGCGGTAGAAAAAAGCCACGGAACTTCCGCCGTTCGGTGCTGAGATTTGTAATCGACGCGCCTTTAAACTTCTAAATCAATAACACTAAGCTGCAGCGAAAAGCTGGCGTGACTATTTCTTACAGGCTGTTTACTGCATGAAAGAATCTGGGGCGTTGCTCTTCTGAAGGGCGGCATGCTTTACGTTAAATCTCCCAAGCATCCCGGCTCCGAAGCAGTTTATTTGAATCGGAAAACAACATTGACAACTATTTCGGGCTGTGGATCGCACAATTTTCCAAATAGAAAACGATAAACAAATCTACCCACATATTTATGCGGTTATGAATTATTTATCGTGTTGGAGATTTCTAAAGCTGTAAATTCAGACACATTACTACGCCGCATAAGGGTTGCTGATGGGCCCAGAAGACGTTGGACCTATGGTGTAGACGGTGGGTTTAAATGTAACTGGCAGCGCACTAAATTGTGTGGAACTACACCTATATGTTATGTCGTTACTGGATCAGACAGAACATTTTGATCAAGGGACAATTTTTCGCCCATTTTGGAACTCGAAAAATTAGATGTGACTACTTTTGTACTCCGTCTTTGGTGGCAACATTACAGCCTAAAGCACTATCCTACCGAAGGTGCCAGCATGTCGTACTCAGTACACACTACCAAAGTGCCAGGGGAAAAGACTTTGCCATCTCATCTAAATATAATCTAAGCGTATGTAGATTAATCAAAATGTATAGATTTTTGAATTGATGGACAGACGTAGGGTTTCAGTCACCACATACAATAGCATTACAGTAGGTTCAGTTACACTGGAATTTCCGCGGTTCAATGGTCGCAATCGATCAGGATCATGAACGCTACGGCCCAATGTCACCATCAGCCAATGCCTACTCATGCGCAACCTTTTGACATATCCCACACATTAATGCATGAAATCAGTTTTTAATTCCTAATTATGTGCCGTATTGAGTAGAGTGTTCACAATAACCAGGGGGGAGGGGAATATGGGTGAAATCCTGCTGGGGGCACATGGATGTCCTTCAAACCTTTTTGTTGCGCCACAAACGTACTGCTAAATTTTGTAAAAGCTGGGGAGGAGCGGCACGTCATCTTTGAAGTGGAGTCTGCATTTTCCATGCGCATGTCAACGCCTTGAGCATTGCCATACTCTCACTTTCCCACATAAAAGGCGCCGCGAGACGAAGACGCTGTCTGCTTCAACGCCCGCGGAGCCATCCAAGCATTCGTTCTCACTTCAGACTGAGAGACATTCCCACACTGGCGTCTCCGGCCGGTCCGTTTCCACGCTGGTCGCGGAGAGGCCAGCCATCGGTAGCGATGGCAAGCCATTGTTCCCGATGGCAAGGGTCACCGCCACGCATAACAAGCCGGCGCTTTCCTGTCCGGCCCTGTCGGCGGTCGACGCGGCGTGTCGGCGGCACGTGTCATCGCCACATGCCCGCGGCGTGGTGCCGGACGTTTCCGGTCGACGTGGAACGACTTTCCCCGATCCATGGTCGAGTGCCGGCTCCGACCCAGGTGCTGACCCTCCAATCAGTGCCGGCAGGACCCGGGGCGGCGCCGTCGGCGCTCCACCACCACAACAACCCCGCCTGCACGCCCTTTCCCTAACAAGGAACGCTCAGCACCAGCGTTTGAAGGGAGTCGCGTCTCGCCGCCTGTTCCTCCGGCACGGATTGGCTCCTGGCACCGCCAGGGGCCACATGCAGCCGTGACTTGTTTCCAAGGCGCCGCCACCGGAACTCCGGGCGCCGGCGGCCAGTCTTCATTGGACAAACGGGCGCCGGCGCCGGCGGCGACCGACGCCAGCTGGGCAGGGAAACCGCCGGTGGGCGGTAAACGCGCGGCATATTTGATCGGAAGAAAGCGGCGAGCGGCGGCACAGGCGCACCGTTAGTGGCGCGGCGTGTGACACGGGTCCGCCGGTTTCTCTGGACTAGAGCAAATGTTTCGCTCGCGGCGATCGTGTCCTGTCGTGTCAGCCAGTCCGCGGCGTTTGCTCTGGAAAGCTGGCCGTCGTAAGATCGGCCAGACGAGCAAACTTGGGTGGACGACTGATGAGACCCGCGCCGTTTGCTGCTCGGCTCTCTCGGAGATGCTGCAGTCTGATAGCTGTTCAACAAATTGACTGACGGTGGACCGCATCTGGCTGCAAACTGTGACTGCAGGACATCAGTAACTCCCCTGAGATTTGTTCCCGATTTCGACCGAATAATGCGAGCTGCAAGCGTGACCCGTGCCCATTTCACAATTTGCATGCCACTTGCCGGCTTCAAAGAGCGCACACGTGACTGCGCATCTGTATGTAGACCCCATGCAGCCCTAAACTTTCTCGGCACAAAGCCTGCTAGACGGTAAAGTTAGTCATGGGGAGATGCTATCGGAATTCACGATTTATGACGCGTAGCACCCCGCCGTTTGCCGCATTTAATGCGCTCTTCTCAGCGTTTTCTTGTCACCATCTGTCAAGTGACCACGCACAGCCAAGTGCTTCTTGTGCTTTTTAGTTAGGGGCATGCGGTTTTATCGACCGGGTGAAACTTTCCCGTCGCGGCGACGAGATGAAGACGACGGGTCACATCATCCGGGTCTGGCCGGTGGCCCGTGAGAGCCGCAGTCAGCACTAACTCCGTCTCTCCCTTGTTTCAGTGATTGCCGCCGTCTCCGGCGACGAATCAGCACCCGTAGGTAAGAGCTAACGAGGCGAGATTGCTGTGCCACGGCGTCAGCAGCCGGCGTACCGCCGGTTATCACACCGCGCCCGGGACAACGGTGCCGGCGCTTCGCCAGCGTCAGTAAATTTTAGCGCGCTTTGAGGACGTTGAAAATCGATGCCAGTACTGAAGTGCGGAGCCCTACTTTTTAGCTTCAGTTCTAATCGGGTACCCATGCATCCAGGCTGATATACAGCGTGGGGGCCGATGCCAGGCTTTACGATGTTTGCATCGCTATTAAGCACCCGTCACTCAGCTGCGCCTGGTGTCCGTCGGACCTCTGGCACGCGGAGCACGCGTCAAGTGTTCTTCTTGTGCCCATCGGGAGGTGTTTTCACTGGCTCGTTTTTACGAGCGGCCACTAGGGCTCTGGAGTGCCTCGCCGCCTTATTTGGGCAGCTTCTAACGGCCGGCTGCGTTTTACGCCGTGCCCCGACCCAGTGATGATGAATGCGAGCGCAGCGTGCTCTTTGTGTGACCCATATCCTCTTGTTTCAGGTGCGCCGCATGAGCAGAGGCCCTTCCTGAGACCCCAGCCGCAGCCAGGCCGCCCGCTGCCCTACCCTCTGCGCAGGCAGAGCAGCGTAAGTGCCGCCGACTCCGCCTGCGACACAGGCTAGAGCGGTGGAACTGCATCCGGCTTGCAGGCACCGATCGCGTGCCGTAACGGTGTCATTCAGCGCCAAGAGAAACGCAAAACAGCGCGCTCCGGACACAACAATGGCCAAATTACCACCGTGGGGCCGCACGGCAGACCGACGTCCGCCCATCGTCTGCGAGCCACGCCGCGAAACGGCGCGAGGACACAGCGCGACACGACGCCGATCGAGCGGCGGTGCCGGATCCGCGGCGGACGGTGAAACCGCCGGCCACGCAACATGTGTCGGCGCCGCTCTCGTTCGGAAGGACGGCACCCGGGCCCGCGAGTCCCAGCTATTAATTACGGAGAAATCGGCGCGCGGCCACCCGGCGTTGGCTGACCCGATTGGAGCGACGGCGCGGCGACCTCGCGGCCTTGGCCGGCCGGCGGCCGCCGCCGGGGGCGACGGCGGCGCGTCAGGACACCGCCTCGGGCGACGATCGCCGATAATGGCCGGCCGGATAACGGAGCGCGTTAGCTGGGCGCGCGGGCTGGTGCGCGCGCCGGGCCACGGGTGGATTCCGCCGCGTCCGCGACGCACCCCCGGCGGGCACAGACGCGGGTGTGCGTCAGAGGCGGTGGTGGTGACTCGGCTGGTTCGGGGAGTCAGGGCGGGTGCGCTGGAAAGGTACCCCGTGCAGCTTTCCACTGGGTAATGGGGGTGCGACGTTAACTGGGCTGTCCTCATTGCGGCGGCAGGGTGGCACACTTAGTCACTGCACCCTGAAGATGCGGCCCGAGACGCGGCGTCTTTATTACCCCGGCAGCATTAGAATTAGGCACACATTAACGTGGGAACTGGTCCGCGGTGATCTGCACATAGCGAGCTCACGGCAGGGCCCCGGGCGCGCAGTGCTTCACCAGGCTGCATAGTCCTGAGAATATCCAGGTTCTCAGCTTAAATCATTTGAAAGTGGAAGTTTACTGTTACTGGACGGAGAATGCTCAATGGCCATAGAAGCTCCCGCGCCGCGGAAGAGAGGGCAGCTGTGGCGTCAGACACGACAGTTTATCTTGGCCCCAAGCCTCCTATTACCACAAAGCCTGTCAGCGTGCGCAAGGCCCGAACGCGGGGAGTGTGAAATGTTTACGACCGCGTGCACTTTCTCTTAAAACAGCTGGCACCCCACGAACCTCAGATTGACGATACCGTCACAGGCATGCCCGCTCTAAAGATGAAAGCCTGTTTACGACCGCTCACAGCCCGACTTGCATGCGGAATGAAGTGCGTTCCAACGACATTTCTTCCTGTTTCTTGCGGTCATTCAGGATGCAATTTTCTCTTTCTCTTTCATTCAGGAGCGGAATGACAAGTTTTTTCGTTGTAAATCCGCGCCCTAGGCCGCGCAAGATCTGCGGCGGTGATCTCACTTCCTGCTTTACCTGGAATCGTTTCACAATAGTTCGTTTCTGCGCCCGAGGGGCTTGGGACAGCAGAGCGGCATCTGGCCTCCCGGTGAATGGATCCGATCCATGAAACTGGTTCACACTCGGTGACCGGTGCCCTCAGTACCGTATAGCGCTAGCAGTGGTCAAACCCACGTTCTACTGACCCTGACCTCCGCTTCCACGCGCTTGATCGGTTACCGTGTGGGTCGATCGGCCGGCCGGCTGGTGTGTACCGCTCGGCCCGTGACCCCCACGTGCGGCGTCTGACCTCGCCTCTGATGTGCGCCGCCGCCGGCTGACCCGTGACCTCTGCCGCCGCAGGGACTGGACCGCGCCCGGCAGGCCATCTCCGGCTTCATGCAGAACATCATGGACGCCGGCCGCCGGTTCCGGCGCATGGCCAGCGCCCGGCTCTTCACCATGTTCAACCGCCGCTCGCTGCGGCGATCGCAGAGGCAGCAGGTGCGCACGCCCTTCCGGCAGCAGTAGAGGTCCCGGCAGCTCGTGATCCAGCTGGACTCTCAGCGTGGCCAGGAAACAGGCCACGGACCTTGCCAGCGATCGGCCGGCCCGACAGCAGGTGGTAGTTCGCACTCCGGCCGTACGGCAGCGCTCGCGGCGCCGTGCTTGGGCTGGAGCGCCTCGGTCGGCTGCAGCTGCGAGTTCGCGGGCTCCGCGCTCGTCCAATTGTCTTGTCTTGTTGTAGGAATCAGGCTTCATCGTCATGTGCGTTAAGTTTGCGGTTGTTGTTACTCGAGTTGTTGGGCGTCCTTGTTGTCCGATGCGTCCAGCCACGAGACTTGCTGCGCTCCTCTATCTCAGGAAGATGTGTCTCCGTTTCCGATAAGTAGATGCTTGTTTTTAAGATTGACACTCGTAGTTTGCTTTCCGCAACGACGTCATCTGAGCTTGATTCCTTAGTGCGTAGAAAGATTCTTAGTTCCGACTGTTTTCTGCTGTCCGACTTCTTGAGCCAGCAGTCAGGCCGTGCATTTGTACATATTTATTTCATGTGACATTTGCTTTATAAAGACGTGCCCAGACGATGTTGTTCTGTTGTCTGTTTTCATCCGTTAGCTGAAATAAGAAATACACAGCGATTAACATTCTACCTGCTTCTGGTTTCAACCTCCGGTGGGTGAAGATCAATCAGAGCCGAGTGATTTTTGAAGAGTAGATCTTCGCGGAAGGGAGGGACGATGTGGCGATGTGGCACTGACGGTTGTTGCGCCCAGCTCATGTTCTTTGCCACACCACAAGCGTTTATGAGCAAACCAGCTCCTAGAACCAAGCGCAAATCAGCTCCAGATCGACAGGGACCGACGCTGTGTTCCCCGTCGGCGGGGTGATTCGAATAAGAAGCTTGCTGCGTTTTCTTGACTGGACGTTCCACGATTAATTTGTGGACAGTGCAGTATCAGCGAATGCTGCTCACTGCAAAGAGAGTTTTCGAGCACAGTTTTCACTCCCCGATGTTCTACGTGCCGCACTTTGCCTTTGGCGGCTACACCATGAGATAAAGGTTGTCATGAAAACGCCGCTGGCACGCATTCAGCCACCCAGAAACGTCTAACAAGGCTCAAATTTTGTGAAACTGGGACAGGACACAGCCGCGCACAACCGGGCGCTTAATGTGACATCGAGACGGATACCTGGCCCATCTCGGCTGGCAGATCGGACGAGTGGGAGGTTGGTCGTTGCCTCCCTGGTGGCGATGACCCTATTTTACTAGTGTAATGAAAGGTGGTCAGATTTAAGCGTTCTGCTTTTCACCAATCCGCCCATCATATCATCTGTCACATCATGCCCGTAATCAAAAATAAACAAACAAAACAAACCTCCGACCAGCCCTTCGGACCCGTCCGGCCCTCAAATCGGGTCCTTGATCGCCTGTCCTGAGGGGCTCGAAGGGTCCTCGGAACCTGAGGGGGGGGGGAGGGGGGCATGTACCCCTTGCCCCTGCCTACGCCTCCGTTTCTGCGACATCCTATTATATCCTTGCAACCACTAGTTTTACGGTGCTGAAATTTTCAGCAACATGCATCACGGTTTTTTAAAGGCTTAGCTGCAATTCTTTGAGGGCGCTTGATCGCAGGCCTGGCGAGCGGATGGTGTGCCTCTTTAACGTTGCTGCTATGCTGTGCTGCTATTGCTGCACTGATATTCGTCCATCTTGCTTGACACATGAAACGTAAAATGTTCAAATTTCTTAAAAGCAAAAAAACAAAAATCTGGGAAGCAGGGTCCAGGTATCGGCAACCAGAAGTCATAAGAGCATGAGAGCGACTGAAACTGACTGAGGCATAAAACGGACAATGGAAAAATGACCCGAACGTCATCACCGTTTGAGATTTTAGATGAGTCTCAGTACCACAAATGCCAGTCACCCACTTCCAGAGTTGATAGGAGCCTCTGCGCGTACTGCAAGAATAAATGCAAGTTTGGCCGTCTAAATCGAGCTGGTCGGCACGGATCGCACCGATCGAAGAAGCCGGAACACTAAGTGAATTCTTAATGCAGCCCCAGGGCTGGCATAGCTGTCGAATGACGCACGGTCGTCAACGTCGCGATCAACGTCGTTATCCGCATGTAGGAAATTTAAGCTGGGCTGAGCTGGGTGCCGACCTCAGAACACTCTGACGCGCCGGGAAGCAAGCCTGGCTGGAAGCTGGCGTGGAAAAGATGGATCAAGTGGGACGCCGTAAGATTACGGTCCCGATGAGAGGAGCATCTTCAGCTCTGTCCAAAACAGCCTCATCGGACTATTGGAAGATGAGAGTGGGAAATTGTTCCTTGTCGGTTTCAGTGGTATTGCAATAAAACGCACTCAATATGTGACTTAGCACCGCTGGATAATTGGATCATCCTCGAGCCCCGCTCTCTGACTGACCGGTCTGGAAAGGCCACCGCCGGAGAGTTTAAAGTCAAGCCTATGAAGAACGTCCGGAGGACGTCGCTCTTCTGAAGAGTTGGCTTAGATGAGTGGCATTACGAAATGTTGTTCCAGCCTTGTACGGCGGTGCAGACCGGTGCGTGACCAGACCGGCTAATCCTGATCCGGCCACTGAGTGATAATAAGGGGTGTGGGACGTGGGATCATGTTCTCATGTCAAAAATGTGCATCTGCACTCATTTGGTTAGTTTCCGGTGCGTGCTTTCGTAGATGATGAATATTGACAAAGTCCCGGTAATAAGATAGGTCGAACACTGATTGAGAACAGTTTTTCTGTACCGTGTGGCATATATTTCTTTGCGTGCTATTTATCTTCCGAGGTCGAGAGCGATTCTGAATCGCGACCAATAGGGCGCGTTTGATTTTGACCCTGAGCAGCATAGTAAGCTTTACTTTGACAATGGTTCCGGCTCAAGGAGACATGACTCAACTCCGGAATCGATCTCGATGTTTTCGATTCCAATAAGGCGCAGTTAACGAAAAGCAACTGCCGTTTAAGGTGAGGATGAGGGCCCGTTTAGGACGAATATTCCTTGTAATTAGGTTTTGGACGCCCTCGGACAGGTTTGTCTTCCTTCCATGAAACGGATCTATTTCCTGTCGTTTTATGAGGCTCGTTATGTAGGCACGTCTTGTGAGCTCAAACGGCAAGCTACGATAACCACGATGGCAAAGATCATCGTGGTCCCGGTCAGTGTTAAATGGGCACTGTGGATCTAAGCTGATGAGACAAGATGAGCCTGGAAACCTCTTGGCCTTTTGGAAGGAGCTGGGGCGAAAAGGTTTCTGGGTCATTTGGTTTTTTTTTCGGTGCTCTTGCATATTCTTTTCCGTGATGACATCTCCCCTACTTGCATTTCCATTTCCGCTTACGGCGCTTTTCTTAAGTTGTCCCACTCTCAGCCTGATGCCCGTCATATCTGGCAGTTGTCCAAACGTCTGTGTTATTTATGACAATGTGCGGTTCGTGATCGAGACATGCGATCAACAGGCGAAAGTCTCCTGTCGTTGGGGACATTTGGCGCGGCATTACCGCAAGCCTCAATGTTTCAGCCGACATTCTCCTTTTGGCCACGAGCGAAGCACAGCCAATGAGGTGGGATCCTCGCGTGACGCTTTTATACGTCATACTTCTCACGGTGACCTTCCGATAGGCGGCGCATCGTAGGCCGTACGAATTCATGTGCAGTCTAGCTTTGAAACAAGATTTGAAATAATAAAAAGGTCATGGCTGAGAGCTGCATGAAAGGCCATGAAGGTGGCTATCTCAGTTCAAAACTGCATACGAGTGTGAAACAGTCCTTTGAATCTAGGGTTTATGAGTAAGAGCATATCTTATAAATAAGGTTTGTAAGCATATATCTTATCTTATAAACGAGCCGGGGAACTAAACAGAAGGGTCTGTAGGCATCAAAGAGTGTCCAGAAGTCTGGAAAGGCCTTCAATAATCTTGCAAGAGCCTCAAACAGGAACCAACATTTCCATCCGCAGAACCAGATGACTAGTTAATCATTGAACCACGATGCCTCGCTGATGACCCATTGCCATGGATCTAGGGCCAACTCTCTGGGTCTTCGTGACGTATTCGAGGCTTCCTTTCAAACATGGTACCTTTTTGCTGACCGCTTGACTTTCTTTACATGTTTGGGGAGACTTATCGGAAGACCACTTCCCCTGTGTACCGCCAGATGTTTCTACTGACTTTCAACATCTCATCGAAGTTAAGAGGCCCCTATTTTATATTTGGAAGCCCTTTAAAGTTCGTTGGCCCTTTCGGTGGACTCCTCGAAAATTCTCGCTTCATCTGTTAAGTTTTCTTTACACTTCTTGTCTGTACTGGTGACCATAAAGTATCGTATATGGGAAGATTGTTATAGTTTCCTAGAACCCTGTGCAATTATGGAGAGTAATTTCAGATGTTGCGCGCTGTTCTTTGACTGCTGGACAGCATTTTTCATATGAGTGGCCCTGTTTTGGGATAGCTGGTAGTTATGTATAATCAATCTATCTGCAATGTTCACTCATTTACGTTAACGGGAGGACCCTCATGGACTCCTGGCATACTTGCAAGGCTAATGAGTGGCTCTTTGTCACATTAACATGTGTTCTCGTGGTTCATAACAATACAGGTAGTCATGGTTAGACAGCCCATGCAAAAAAAAACTCTTAACATCTTTACGTCGCAACTAAGAGTGGTTATCAGAATTACACATATTTTTGTACTTGCACCCGTCTCTGCAGCTAATAGGCCCTCGTTTCAAAGTTGTGGATTTTTAGACCTTTCGCTCCCATTTTTGATGTCGCGGGCCAACGTTGTTAGTGCCACGATTTGATTTGTCGTATTGCAGATGTTACCGTGTATCGCATATCAGAGGTAAGTTGGCTTCTCTGGGGCACTTGTGAGATTGTTGGCCCCTTTTCACACCTTGTGTCCCCTGAATTATCAAAACTTGGGACCTTTTTGAAACCGTCCTGCTTTTTTGTCGAATAGAGTTTTGGACTGACTGTAACTGCTGTTCTTCTGCGTCATGTATTTGCTTCGCAAACTATGAAGTGCCTAAATTGCTCGTCGACCGTGTATTGTTATTACCCTTTTTACAGTGTTTTATATCGTGAGACCTTACTTCATAAATGTGTTACGTGGCGCTGCACCTGCTACCTTTTCTCAACCGCATGCAAAGTTATGTTGGAACGATAGGTAGAATAATAGTAACTATTATGGACGCCCAAAAATAGGTACCATAAAAATTTACCATAGGTCCTTGGTCATATTTCAAGTGAACAGCTAAGTACTCACATTCTGTCTAACAACGTTTTGATTCAAAATTGCCACTTCATATACGTATTTAATATCGAATGGGAATTAAAGTGAAGAAAAGGCGGGCAGCAACTTTGCCTTGAACAGTCAGTTATTCTTCCAGCATGTCTAAAAATAATTGTCGCTGGAATCTTTTCTGACTGTCTGACTGACTGGAGCTCAAATTTTGGCAGATTATGTGAAATTGATTTTTAGAAAAAGAAACTAAGCTTCAGAATGTTCCTCTATCAGCTTAGAGTGTAGGTGCGAAATGAGACAACCAGGAGACTGAATGACAGGAGCACGAAGGTATCCTTTGTAGGGGGTCTTTCACATTTGCATGGGCTTTGAGCTAAAATAG